ACTCCTTTCCAAACACCCTCCCCATGCAGTAAGATCAAAGGCCACAGAAGCTGCCAAATGTGCTTCCCAAAAATTCAGAAAACAATGTAGTAATACTGGTATAACAACCTACTCTTTCCATGCCCTCACACATCTGCTTATTGGGCTTACTCTGTCACAAACATACTGTTCAAACAGTGATTCACTTTCACAGGATTAGTTTTAAGAATAGCTACAAGGAAAATTGGTTTCTTTTAGAGAAACAGTACTTTTTCAGTCTACTTACGTTGTGTCAAGTGTTCGGTTGATTTTAGCTATTAATCCTAAAGAAGGATCAATTTTGGCATACATTGTTGACATCACACCCACAAGTACAATAAACCAGCTAGATGGGCTAGCAGGAAAAACGCCAGTGATAATTCCATTCTGGAAAGAAAAGCCTTCACATAATTTTTTTCATACCAAAGTGGTTGACTTCTTATTACCGTGGAAGGAAACAAAAATCAACACATTTAAGTCATTCAGTTTTAAACAGTCCTTCTCATAGCTTTGTAAGATTTTATTGACTACTGTTAAAAATATGCTTTTGAAAGAGATGTTGAAGTTAGCCTATATTTTATCTAGTTTGCTGCTAATAAAATACATACTTACTATTTCTGATCCCATGAACAAAATAATAAATTCACAACAATCTATACCTCAACAGAAACATTACTACTTAGCATTGTCCCTGCCCATGGCAGGGGGTTGGAACTAGATGATCTTAAGGTCGTTTCCAACCCTAACTATTCTATGATTCTATGATTCTATAACTTATACAAGATAGATGTTCAGGTAACTTTTTGAAAACAGCAGAGATTCTCCTTAATTTGAAAATTTAATTTTGGCAAAGAATACATAAAATCAAGAGTGTAGTCTTATATCTTTAAGTAATGACACTAAAAATCGCAACTAGTTATATTTCTGACTTATGTTAAAAGATTACATAATTACATGAAGTATTATGAAAAGAATGAAGTATATTAAATCTACCATTAATTTTAACATCTGTTACATCTTGCTTCCACAGAATAAATCAAACACATGTACCCTTTCAGTCTTTACAGCATCACCCCACGTTACCTTCCTCAGTATTCCCCTTAACTAAAACTCATAAAAGTCTTCCACAACAAAGAACTTTATTTGCCATAAAGGAGGAAAGGAAAAAAATAAAAAAAAAAAAAAAGGATTTTTTTTTTTACCTAAACAGAATTTCAACAAATCTATAAACCATTAAATAACTCTCAAGTTTGGTGGACTTAACGAATTTGAAATACCTTGAATCTGATGAACTTTTTCTTCCATGAATGGACACCAGATAGGTAAATTTGTTTGAGTGCCTCATGGCTCATTCGCAGGTCAATCCCATCTGGAGTTACTGTAAATTGAAAAGCTACTGCTTGGTAAGCTTCTGCCATCTTCAAAGTGAGTTCTGTCAAAAAGCAGAGTTAAAAAAAATATTTCCTTTTTGTTCAAAGGAACCAGAATCTAGTCCATTTCTAGCAAGATATCTTCCACACTCTAATTCTGGGAAATATTTCAAAGTACGCCAAACTTACTTACAGTACTTGCCTCTTCCTTACAGGCTATGCTTGCACTTCAGTCTGAGTATCTCTCTGTCAATTAAGGTACCTCTTCTAACCACAGCAGCTGAAAATGTAAGCAAAACACTCATGTAACTCAGGCCTTTTGGCAGGATCATAGCAAGCTGTATATCGTGTGTGCACGCAATATATAAAAATTCAGAGCAGAAAATTAAAGCTGTAGTATCTAGAAAAAGTAAATGGCAGGTACATAGCATCTCTCTGTGTAATGATAAAAGAGATTCAGAAAATGTTTTGGGGTTTGGTTTTGTTTTGGGGGGTTTTTTTTTCCTCTTAACATTTTGAAACAAAAGGTATTTAAAGTTTTCACCTCAGCTAGCAAAACAGAGCTGCTTCATGCCATATTTTCCTCTGATTTTTTTTTTCATATATTAATTTCAAGCTGATTTGTCCCAGCAATTTGACACTATAGCCTGAGTGCAGACTGAGTCCAGACTGGCAAATAAATGCCAAATCAAAACTGTGCAGAGTTGAGGAAACAAAATCACAGCTGTCGGAAAGATGACCTTCACACAAACAAATCTGAAATGAAGAGGAAATGTAATTCAACTGTAGCTAAGTTTAATTACCCCAAAATATCAGTGATCGTGCCAATACAGACCATCACAATGGATAGGCATAACTGGCTCAAATAAATGCCACTTGAAGTTAAAACAAATATAAACATGTAAACAGAATCACAGTTACACCCCAACTTTCTCTGAGGATACAGCCAATTCAAACTGAAATGTACACTCATATTTATCAGCTCATCTTCATAGCTTCCTTCTTTCTTTAACCAGTATTTTTACATAAACATCCTGCAAGTTACCCCTGCTCATCATTAATTCAGACTAATATTGTTTGAGCACATACAATCAGAACACAGATTTTTGCAGACCATATAACATTGAAATGGTCCAAACTACATACTCTTGAAGAGACCATCAAGACTTCAAAGTATTTTGTCCACATTCATTTATTAGCTTACCAAAACTTCTGTGCACAATTCTAAAAACAGCATCCTCTTAGAAGTAGAGAAATCTATAAATCCATCTATAGAGCAGGATTCAAGGGCAAATTTTACTTTCACATTTTTACTGGTACAAAATACAACGCTATCAATACTAAATGTTTCAAGGCAGCACTGGCATTTCTATTTAAACGAAAATCAAAAGTACAACTACTTCATGCTGTTTGAATCCTAAGTGCTGAAACTTACATTTCTTTTGCAAACCTGAAGCATAGGCTTTGTAATTAAACTTAAATTCTGGTAGATATTCAACCCCTGCATGTGAGAGTTATCAGTGCAGTTTAGCTGAGCACTTCAAAAGCAGATTATTAGACTGTAGTACTCCTTTAGTCTTTAAACATTCTACTATGTCAAAGTCATCTGAAGCATGAAGAAGAGTGCAAAGGTGTATGAGTAGACAGCTAGGGAATATAAGAACTTGGAATGTTGCAGTAATAGTAGGCTTAGGAAATAAATGCTCAACACAGGAATAGAAGGAGCATTAGGCAGAGAAGAATAAGGAAAGTGCTGTTGCACAAAATCTGGCAAGGCTGCTGACTAATAGGTAGCAACTGCTTACAATATTAAAAGTGCGTGCCCCTAAACCAGCCCCCAGTGCTCAACCTCTGCAGTACTGCTATAGTGGCTGACAGTAATTCACACATCTCCTAAATCCATCAGCCACTGCTCAGGTTTTAGAGGCAGAGTCCTGGGTGAATCACGCTTCTGGGTTTCCAGAAGGGTAGCTAAAGATCACTGGGTTACACAGATAACATGCAATTTGACCTATGCATGTACAGTGTCTGATTAGCTCAACAAAGAAATCAAATCAGGTTTGAACACCAGTTTTGAAACCTTTAAGACAAGCCCTGTATGCCCTAATAACAGCTGCCATTTGTAGTAATTAATGACTCTGTCACTAAAAACTGCTTATTCACAGGGGCCTTGCTGGAGACAAGTATCAGGAAGTCAAAGTCAGCTGTTCCTTCATTCATTTAAATTGTATGCTTGGACACTGAGACCAAAACTGCAAGACAGCAATAAAATGGAGACAGGCTGCAGCAATCCGTGGTATACCCTGGACTTAACAGGGTTTGCAAAAGGCAAAGTTAAGAATTCATCATATGTTTAGCAATACTGTAGTGCTATTAAGACTGGGATAAACAAACAAATGAAAACCCCCACATGCTCCCAACAAAAAACAACTATCTCCCCATACAGAGAATCAGGCACCTGGATTTGTCTCAAGAAGGGCCAACAGTTCTCTAGTTCACTCACTGAATTTTGTATTCTGGAATGCCAGTGTCTTAAGTACCAGGTGGACTAGTTTCTATTACCCTTCAACTCCCCTGTGACTTTCTAACTACCCTCCTCTCTGTTTCTGAAGGTAAGAATTTCAAGAACCCTTTCCTTTTTAGGCATATGCATTTCTACTGTCCAAAGCAGGAAAAGATTATAAATAAATAGTCAATAAGCTTCAATAAGGAAAATAGTCCTTATTCACAAATGAAAAAAATGCTAATCCAACAAGAATTAATCCTGAATCAAGTAAACAAGCCCTGAAAACAAAGACAAGCCTAGTTCTAGGACTGTATTACTTGACCCTCAGATGTGAAACAATCAAAAATCTTGGGTTTTTTCATATCCTTTTCCTTTACTTAAAAAAACGCTTAAGCCTTTAAAATTGTTCTGAATTACGATGGCCGAACACCAAAGACTTCCTGAAGTCCCTGTCTTTGAATATTTATTTTCCTCCTTAAAAGCCTATTTAATCATAAGCTGCTGCACACTTCCCCTGCTTTGCATTCCTCTGCTGTCACGTGCTTGCTAGCTAAGTAGGTAAAAGGGCACAGGCTTTAGGAGCATGCGTTGAGACTTGCAAACTTGACTTGCTAATGTTAGTAGGGCAGCGCCCACATCAATCAGCTAACACTGAAACAGTAACTTCTTCTAACTTCAGGCATTTTGGTCAGCAAAATATTTCTGTACAGTGTATACCAATTAACCCCATTCCCAACAGAGAGCCACAAACAAGAGCTTTTATTTTATTGGCAGTCTGGCTGAGTCCTGCTTAAAGGGGAAAAACAATTCACAATGATTTCTAAAGGTAATCTAAAAGTAATAGATTACTTTGATAATAGCTATTTTCTTTCCTTTCAGTGTTCTCTCATAATATTAATGTATCTTAAAAAACACACTTGTCCCTTTAAAGTTGGAGGGTTGTGCTGGTTTTGCTTTTAGTTACAGGAGAAAGCTGTCTCATCCTTGCACTTTTCTGGTTTTACTTCAGCTCTGACATGCTGTAACAACTGCAGATGTTTCTCGTCTTCCCTTTTCATACCTCTGCTTGAGCCAATCCAAACTTACCACATCTTTTTCCATGGGTTAAATGTCACTTTTAAGTCAAGAAAACACATAGCACACCAGAAGGCCCGAGTCCTGATAGACGTGATGTTCTGAAAAACTATACTGCTATGACTACTATGCATGAAGCTTCCTCAGACTGCTGTTTCTGCAGTTTCAGGATATTTATACTATGAAGATGGAGGTTTAACTCTCAGACTGCACACAGACCTTATGATTTCAGGCAGACACTGAATAGTCAGCTCTCTATTGGGGTTTACATGCTCCTGTAACCACAGGAGAAGATGAGGGCCTCAGCCCTGGAAAATCTGAAGCTAAAAGAGATCCCATGTGTAGGATGCTTCCATTTAGTCAGGCATGCAAGAAGTCACCTGTGGTTGGTAACATCTCCCTCTGAAGAACATAACACAGAACACGATGTCTAAAAGACAGTGAAAGAATTACTACGTGCATCTTAAAAAGCACCAAGCCATGAGGCAAAAATTAAACGTATTACAGTACATTGCACAAAACAACGAATTAATTCCTGAAGCATTAATTTTGGAAATGCTATTGAGTTTGTTTCTGTAGATTTCATAAGCTTTATATGGATAAAATGATAGTGCTAAAGAAAACCCAAAAAACAACAACCCACCAAAATGAAAAACAAACAAACAAAACACAAAACAAACAAAAAAAACCCCACACCAAAACACCAAGTAGTCACCATCTCTATCTCAAAAAAAGCAACTCCTCTGCTTTGAGGGGATGCCACTTCTTACCTTCTTACCTCAGAGCTCATCTTAGCCACTTGCTTTCCATATGTTGCTTGGCTTATGCAATTTCCCCCCCCCCCATGTCCTGTTCCTCTTGGAATAGAGGAAACCCTGCCATTTCTCCTTGGCAGGAGCCCAACCAACCACCAGAAAGTGACATACTATTTAACTAATGTAGTTTTCACATCTATAGCTCTTTTTCCTGCAAAGCAAGTTAACAAATGAAGAAGAAAACTCCAGAAAAGTCTTATTCACATGACTCAGAACAGCCAAAACCTTGATGAAAGACGTAATTCTATGACCCTCACTTTCAAGCTACCTCAACAATTTACTTTGAGGGTCTCCTCACCGATTTTTGATACCTATTTATAGATATACAGGACATACACCTGTCAGTAACCAAACTAAGCTCACAAAACAATTATTTCCAATTATTCTACTTTGGCAATAAAAGGTTGACCGTTGTCTTGGAAAAGCATTGACTGCTGCATACAGTTTCTCCAAGAGCACTGCTACATACCACCCCACACAGGTTTAATACCTTTAGAGCCCTCAAATAGACATCTCTGGCACTCAAGCCATTGACTCATAAATGGTGAGTAGACTTGCAGCATTACACGTGCCTGTGCTAAGAGCTAGAACATGCTGCATCCTGAAGTATGATGGCAGTTCTGAATTCTGAAGCACCTGGAAGCCCTCGTAACAACATACAGCTGCAAGGTATCACCAATAAAGAAATGAGAAGCAACAAAACCAACAAAAAAAACTGACCTTAAAGAATTCACTCCCTTTCAAAAATAAACTTACAACTTCAAAATTTAGCTTGGCACTCAGGTTTCACATAGGGATAGACTGATGCAGAAAAAAAAACAAGGGTACTGCATCAATTACAATTACATTGTTTAAGGAAGTTTTAAAGATGAGAAGTGAGGAGAGATAGTGGTTGAAAGTACATTAAAGCCAAATTTAGTTAGGAAACATACTTAGAACTATACTAAGATTTCCATTTAAAGCTAGACACCTTGAATTCAGAAGTTCTTGGGAAACCAAGCAAGTGCTCCAGTGTCTTTGTCCCCAGAACAGTTTATTTCAAGGAAAAAAGGGAGTGGAATTCTATTTCTATCAACATCCAAAGCAGTAAGAGTTACTGCTTGAATGTTTCAAGCAGTCATACAGAACAGAAAACAATTCTGGAGCTCCAACAATTTCTCTTAAGAGGAGACTTTTCTGGAACTTGTTTAAATATTGAAAACACTATTCTATTACTAGAAATCTGCATTTTCTGCTGTCCTAGAAGACAAAAACTGTTAATGCATTCTGTTTTGTAGAAATCAATGAGTAATTCTTTAAGCTCAAATCTGTTAATTTCATACCAGACACTAAACTAAAAGCAAGAGAATTCCAAACACTGAGATGTCCAGCCAAATCTATTAATGCATTATTCCAAATTTCTCTTCAAATTTCTGTTAGGGATGTTTCTGTCAGCCCAAGCTTTCATACCACCTACACAAGGTAGGTCAGACTACCTTATGTAGCGAAGCACAACAAAGCCAGTACCACCATCCCAAAATAACTTGCTAGTAAATAAGTTTACTTCCACACTTTGCCACCAACCACAGTTTAATGGCAACACTGATCTATACAGGCATACCGGATGTAGATGTACAGATAATCAAGGTTGCTTAGGTTTGTTTCTGTTGAAAAATACTCAAAGTTCTCCAACCGCCCCAAAATGTATCACTTATATCAAGCAACAGGACCTATTCTTATACAAATGCAAAGGGTTAGTGTCTTCCAAAACACTTTTTTTAAGTGCTGCTGTCTTAGTAACATTCTTCAAGTATGTCTTCACCTGTCCAAAATCTGCAGAAGTTCTGAAGTTTATCAGTTTGACACTTCCAGATGTTCGATGCAAAAGCAGTAGCTGTCAAAAAGTTGAGGAAAAAAAAAGAAATAAAAAAATAAATATGGAAAGGAGCAAACTGCAGATGGATTTACAAGTACAGGGGCTGAAACAAGGAAGGATCTCTCTGCCATCCGGATGGACCTCAACAGGCTCTGGAGAAACAGGCAGGCTGAAAGCTTATAAAGTTCAATAAACAGAAGGGCCATGTCCTGTACCTAGGGAGGAGTAACCCATGCACTAGTACACACTGGAGACTGAATGCTGGAAAACAGCTCTGCAGCAAGTTGCACACAAGATAGGAAGGTGCCATTGCAGCAAAGACAGCAAACAGAATCCTATGGTGAATTAGGAGAAGTGTTACCACCAGATTGAAGGGGGTGACTCTTCCCTTCTACTCAGTGCTGTCGAGGCTCCATTTCAAATATTGTGCCCAGTTCTGGGCTCCCCAGTAAGAGAAAGAGATGAAACTATTGGAAAGAGTCCAGTGAAGAGCCACTAAGAGGATTAAGGGCTTGAAGCATCAATCCTATTTTTAATACAGTTTTAATGGTATACTAGCAGAGATAGGTCATGAAATTTAATGTAGGAGTCCTCATAAGAGATCTGCTTAAAAAAATCAAAAGAAATTAAAAAACAATAATGAAAGAAAAATCTTACTTTAGAACACTAAGGCCTGAACAAGAAATCCTGTGCTTCAGTTGTTCTAAATGAACAGAACACCCTGAAAGTTAAATTGGTAGTAACAGTCAAACACTGAAAAAGAGCAAATCTTCTACAACTGACAAAAATGTACTATTAGTTTGGAAGATAAAAGAAGCTGGATTTTGCAGCAGAATTTTTACAGAGATTTTACATGAACTTTTCAGGCAATGATTCATCTTAATTTTTCAACATTATTCCAGTAATTTTGCCCTCACTAGAAAGCCCCAGCGTGTCATTTTAAGTTCTTAAGTGTGTGTCGGTATTTTAAACACTATTATGCTGTCCAGTGAGAGTCTGCTAGCTCTAAGGCAGCAGGTAGATTTCTGGAACTGACCCTAAGTGCCATATATACTGCAGTAATATGGAAGCAAACAGTACAAACTCCTGATGAAAAATAAGCCATTGAAATTCAATGTTACATCTATGTATCTAGAAGAAACATTGGTTTTATTATTGATAATACAGGCTTTCTTAATAGAATGAGTCAATATGAAGTCATTAAAATGTTTTCATGGAGTTTGCTATAAATGCAACAGTTTCAGTCAGTACAGTATATGCTCTACAGTATATACTGTAGTGTGCGACTTCAGCAACTCAAGGTCCCATCTGCTCTTATGGGAGTAACTGCCTCCCCATCACTATCTGACACAAATACCCAAATAATCCTGCCCCTAATGCTAGAGGATCAACTAAGTAAGGCAGCTAACCAGAGAATGTCAAAAGAATACCAAAACTGCGTTTACTCGTGTATGTAGTGCTCTTTAGATGCACAAAGTTAAAACTAAAGCCAAAACATTCAGTTTAACAGGAACCCAAAGATCAGAGTGGTCTAGAATTTTATGCCTTTCAAAGGAAATACAGGTTTTGATCTACAAAATCTTCAGTAAGCAGTACAAAATATACAGCTCAAACATTTGAACATATGACTAGAAAGACTCTGGTTCCTTTTGTATCTGTTTCTTCGATATTTTACCAGCTAATGCTACTTGTTTACAGTGTATGCTACACTTTTGTAACAAGGTAACAAGGTATCAAAGTCTCAGACAGATTAGACAGGTTATTCACAGTTCACCTGGTATTCCGCAAGGCACTGACTTCTGAACTCACTATAAAGATTAACCAGATGCTGTTATTCCCTGGAGAATTTCTATGTCTTCCTTGCATACTAACCTTCAATAATATCTAATCATGTTTAAGCATACAGGATACTGATACCTGTTGCTCTTAAGTCTTACCAATAACTCACCTACCTTGTAATGGTTAATCATATTCTACAGGCACAAACTCATTACAAGGAGTTAAGCCAAATAACTTCTGTGCAATAAATTGTCATGTAGATTAAATTAATTCAACAGGGCTTCTCAGGTAAATCTAATTACTATGGAATAGAAATAAATCAGAAACCAAAGAATCGCTTTTAAAACTTGAATTAACATGGCATTCAGATCAAATCATAATTGATTGATGCAAATGAAGTTAAACTAAGAGGCTCTTCCATGCCACTTTAGTTGTGTCTGACTTACACAGTTTTAAAATTAAAATCAGTTTAAGCCTCCTAAAAGCTGAATTTGTTGTTTATGTGGTAGTTCTCACAGGGTCCCCAAAGTAAAATTATTATGCTATGACTGAAGTGGCTTAGGTCACTTGGAAAGAGACAAAAGCTTCTCCTCCAACAGCAATCATTTGACACATAACTTTTCATCTTTGGTTATTGCTAACCATTGGCTCCAGACATTCTCACTCTAATCTATAGCCGACAGCTGTGGTCCCTTGGAATTGTAAGCGCCTTAAAGAATCTCTCACACCTAAAAAATTAAAACATGCTGTAGTTCAAGCCAAAGTGGAGAACTAAAAACATGTATTTTCCCAGGTATGGCAACACTGTGACCTACTGCAAACATCACTTACAGCATACAGTTTGGAATCAAAACAGCTAAAGAGCTTGCAGTAACTTGCTGTCCTATTGAGAAACCTATCAGCTTGTGTCTTGTCCTCAGCAATTTTCCAAGATCATCTGTGGGTGAATATTAGCTACACTCTGCAGGCAACTCCTTTGGAATCTTGGGCCAATTTCTTTATCCCCTTCCCAAGGAGTAAAGTGGAGTGAGTATATATGGAAGGGAAGAGACAACAACAGACAGATCAGTGAATGAAATGTAACCATACCTGAACAGCTGTCTTCCTTAAAAGCAGACTTGAGATCTATTTCTCACACAGAAATCAAATCTTCTGTCCAACAAGCTCACTGCAGCAGGAATCTTGAATGCGTTAGGACACAATAAGAGGCAGATTCATTCCAATACTTCTAGCTCTCAATAGACATTACACTACAGCAACGGCAGTCAGTTGCAGCTCTGAAACAGAAAGTCAAGAAAAACAGCTTGAGCTTTAATTCACACACAGCTTTCAACCGCTCACAGGGACTGGATCAGACTGGAAGCACTTTAGAAAAACTGACGGCAATGGGGTGAATAGTCACAAACAGCAGTTCGGAAACACGGCTTTCCATTGCACTGGATGAATGTGTTGTCTAGATCAATCTGTCTTCATTTAACAGGACTGAGTTGGTAAGCAACTGTGGAGTGAAAGTTTGTTCATCTGCTACCCACTTAGTTATTTCTGAGGGCTCAATAGTGAACACTAGCTAGTGTGATAAGCAAGTACAGCTCAGGGGCTAGACTCCAGCTCTAGTTTCAGACTTCAGTTTGAGACATCCAAGTGTTTGCCTGCAAACTTTTAACATCCATTCCAGTCAACACATGCCATTAAGTTTTCTTGGAGAGATGTTCACAGAACAAACTGTTTTCACTGGTACTTTAAGCAGAAAAGCCACAGATAAGTTGTCTTCTCACCTAATCGAACTTGTGACAGGCAAAGTAGTAAGGAAGACTAGCTACAGTAAACAATGTGTTAGTTACTAGAATAACACAAAGGAATATCAATCCCTACAGTTTCTGAATCATATGGCCTCTCATTTTCTCAAATAGGATGGTCCTGTAAAAGATGCTTTAGAAATGTACACTTCAATAAAAAAAAAATGACTCCAAAACACTGACATGCTCCACAAATGTCATAAAAATATTTTTTTTACAACTGTCATATTATTTACAGGTTATTTCTCCCCTATAGAGGGTAGGACTTCCTATACTCTTCCTAGAATTCTTAGATTATTCTAGTCTCTATTGCAGTACATGTTATTACTGTACACATCCCAGCAAGCTACCTTGTCTGATTTTTTAGAAATTCAGAATAATCTTGCTGAGTAAGAGATAAGCATATAAAACTAAACCACTGGCAGGTATCATATAATGCAGAAGCCTCTCCCCCCCCCCCCCCCCCCCCCTTTAAAAAGTAGGCTCTACATCTGGGTATTTCTTTTTAATATTACTATAAAAAACAAAACTAAGCATTTAGATTATATGAGTTTTATCCCTTCTCTCACTCTCCTTGCATTAATGAGCTTCTATGCTCATGCAGTAAAGAAGAATTAGTATCTTCACTGTAACAGCAAATATTTCTGGAATGGCAGGACTTCTAAGAGACATCCATGATGTCACATTTTAAGACTCTGCAGGTCCTGGAAGAGAGACAATGTTTGGTGACCAAAGGCAAACTGAATGGATTGCTCTTGCAGTAGATATTTTACTGTACAAGGTGGAAAGACCTGAATAAGGTCTTTCAGCCTGTACAGGGTTGAATGACTGAATAACTGGTTCCAAACATTTTTTAAAATATTTAAATTAACTATTCAAAATCCAGGCTTGCTTTTCAGTCATTTAGATCTTGTTTTTCTGAACATGTGGAATCAAAGAATGATTTGGGCTGGAAGGGACCTTTAAAGCTCATGCAATTCCAAACCCCTGCCATGAGCAGGGACACCTTGCACTATACCAGGCTGCTCCAAGCCCCATCCAACCTGGCCTTGAACACTGACAGGGATGGGGCAGTCACAGCTTCTCTGGACAAACTGTGCTGGGGCCTCACCACCCTCACAGTAAATTCCTAATATCACATTGCTAAATCTTCCCTGCATCAGTTTAAAGCCATTCACCCTTGTCCTGTCATGTTCGACATTCCTCATCCTGTTTGACGTGCCCTTGTCAAAAGGGCACGTCCAGATCTCTTGTCGGTCCCCTTAGGCACTGGAAGCTGCTCTAGGGTCTCCCTGCGGCCTCCTCCAGGCTGAACAAGTCCAGCGCTCCCAGCCTGTCTTTATAGGAAAGGCACTCCAGCCCTCTGATCATAGTTCAGGACTATGACACAGCACGCTGCAGAACAAATAAAACGGTTTGGGAATATTTTTAAAAATACAGCTGGGGAGAGAGGGGAGGAGGAGGTTGCTTGTTGGTTGTTTTGTGTTACAGACAAGCATTTACTTAGGTCGCCTTTTACCCAAGCTTTTCCAAAACCCGTCCCTCTCGGGAAAGCCTACCCCTGCACGCAGCAAACGAGCACGATCCGCGGCCAGCACACATCTACTCGCCGGCCGCTCCAGAGCCGGCACTTGGTTGCGTTCGCTCCGCAGCGTGCGCGGCGCCGCAGGGATCTGCCGGCTCAACCCCTGCTCCGCCCGCCGCGCCTGCTCACGTGACCACCCCCAAGAAGTAGGGGAAAGGTCGCGCCGCCGCAGCACCGCGCAGGCCAACAACGGCTCGGCCCCGCCCTGCCCCGGGCACCGGCCCCGGTCTCCCCCGCCCCTGGGGGCCCCGGGCATTGCCAGCGGCAGGCCGCGGCAGTCCCGGGAGGAGGGCGGCGGGCCATGGAGGAAGCGATGACATCTCAAACCCAGGAGGAGAAAAAAAAAGGTGCACTTGTCTTGTGCAACTGAACTGTGCCTATTCCGGTTCAGTGCCAAAACCCCTCTGTTGCTCGACGTTAGTTTTCTTTAACCAAGATTAACGTTTTATACGTGGAAGGCGCTCTCGAATCAAGGCTGTGACATCCCCAGATTTGAAAGCTAACTAGATCTGAGAGCTCTTCAAGTCACAGCTGTGACAAAGCCCTGTACCTGCGTAATCATGTAATACATTTCCTAAACTAATAAAGATTCACATAGTGCTTTCCTCCAGTATCACCCGTGCTATTATTAGCTGGTAATTATTAGTTTACATATCAGTATGGTCAAAACAGGAAAAGAACCTGCTAATTACCACTGAAGACTACAATACTTCTTTTATAAAGCATCCATTCACAGTGGCCAGAAAACACAAAGAAGAGCTTCTAGATCCGGAAATTGAAGAGGTCTGACACTCAGGAAAATACAATTGCTTAAGGAAAGGAGAAAGCAAGCATTAGATCTTCCCATTTCTCAGTGCTACACTCCTACAAAGATGTGTTAAGGAAGCAGTAGTTTTCTGTCCAGTAACCTCTTCTGGACTGCAGAGTTCCAATGCGATTGTCCTTTAAGTGCTGACAAATTGCCAGGTAAGAGGAAGAATGAGATATTTGTTTTGATGCTGCTTTGCACTTTCCTCCTTCCAGACAAGGCGCTTCCTGTCACTGTCCCATCAACACTAGTATGGATCTATTACAACTGAAGTCATATTTTAGGTTGGTTTTCGTTTTTTGTTTTTTGTTTTGTTTTGTTGTTTTTTTTTTCTATTTAAGCCGAAAAACATAGTGGAAGTAATGAAAGCTGTGCAAAAATGAGGCAAAAAAAAAAAAAAGTTCCGAGATGCTGCAGAAATCTTAACATACCTTCTCCAACAAGTCTAATTAGCGCTGGCAGCCAGTAAACCTACCACACCGTGAAAAAAAACACAGACAGAAAGTGTTTTATCTCAAAAGCAGTTTGCAGCGACTGTAGTTTTTAGAGGTTTCATTTCTTGCAATCACATGAACATACGGACCAGTCTTTCTCTCTCTCTCACACACACACTTAGTATTCAGTTTACGCACACTTGCAAACGCACAGCTTACATCAAGCTGCACGCACACTTCTACAGAGCTGAAACTCGTCCTGGCAAAGGGTCAAAGCAGCGCCACTAACCCTCGAAGCTGCGGGTCACCGCTGTCATCTTCGTGGATCGGTGACTCTCCTGCTACCCCGTGCCTCCTCCCGCTCCCTCATCTGCGGCAGTAGCGCACTAATCCACACGCCAGGGGAAAAGGCAAGCTGGATGCCAAGGACACTGTAAGGGCCCTTCCTTCCTCCCTCACTGGCCCGCCGGCATCGCCGGGATGCAGCCCCGCTCCCACCACCCTCCCTGCGTTGTCACACTTTCCTCCCGCAAGGACAATCCCGCTTAGGGAAACAGCACCCGGCGCACTCGCACATTTACCACGCAGCTTCACGCTTGCCCTAATAATAATTAGGTTAAAACCAGACCAACCGAGCCCATCCACCTGACTCTGATCTTCGTCCTCCCTCAGTCCCAGCGCGGACGGCGGTGCGCTTGTGGGCGCGTCCTGGATGGGGAAAGGAGGAGGGGAGCGAGGGGGAGGGCGGAAGCCCGCAGTGAATCAGCTGGGCACTTCTGAACACGGCCAGCGCTTTCCCCTACCCCGTTCCCCTGACGCAGCCGGAGCTCCCAGGCGCCGGAGCTGAGCCCAGCCGCGCCGGGAAAGCCGGCGGCCGTGGACCTGCGCCCCACACCTACCGGGGGCTCGCTGCCGGGTCCCGGGGCTCCCCTCTCCCGCTCGCGCACACACACGCACGCTCACACTCACCTGCTGAGGGAATGGCGGCTACCGGCACTGAGGCAGGGCGGGCTAAGGAGGACAGCGGCGCGAGCGAGCAACCGCCGCTCCCTCACACACCCCGCTTTGCCGCCCGCTCCCCCATTGGCTCTCGGAGGCGGAGGGGCGGGCCCAGGACGGGGCGGGGAGCCAGGCGCAGGGCGCGGCCCATGTGGGCGGAGCGGAGGCGGAAAGCGAGGTGGGCACTGATAGGCGGAGAGGCGCGGGTTGGGCTGTAATTGGCAGTTGGGGCTGTGACCCCGGGACACGGGGAAAGGGAAGCCCTGAGGGGGGGGTGTGAGTCTGCGGCAGGCTAGTTCTGGAGCCGCCGTCTCCGTGATCGTACAGCTGCCTTGGGGAAGGCAGAGCTGGGGACTGCGAGGAGAGGCCTCGGCGTGTGAATGTGCGTGGGAAGAGGTGCACCCTGGGAAGGCACTGCATGCTGGGGACCTGTTTGGTGGTGCTGTGAAGGTACTGCCATGGGAAATGAAGATCTACAAACGGCTTTCAGTCCCAGCCCCTTCTGCATGAAGCCCTGTGCAATGGCTATCCTCTACTTTCCCGGGCTCTGGCAAGGCGGAGGGTTTGGCGTTGAAGTTACATGCACAACAGCGCCGTTGGTGGGGCTGTGAATGGGTTTCCAAGGGAAGGTGAGGGCCAGCAGCTGCTACCTCTGGTGCCTTCCATCTGGGAACCTGTGCTGGAGGTTTTCTCTTTTGGACCTGGGCTCTGCTACAGTGAGGCAGTCAGTGAGGGAGATCCTTAGAAGGCAGCACACGTTCAGATCCCCATGTTGATGGGCCTTGCAAGAGAAGGTGCAGGCCGGCAACAGCTTTATGTCCTGGCCCCTTCCTGAGCAGGAGCCCAAGCTGGAGAACTTTCTGTTTTGAACCAAAGCTTTGGATAGGGTGAGATGCAGGTGTGGAAAAGAAAGTGCAAAGCACTAGTATTTGTGATTATGTGAGTGGACTGCCAAGGAAAACTGAGAGTTACAAACAGCTTTAGCCTTGACCTATTCTGAGTGGGAAACTTCAGTGGAGGTTCTCTCTTTTGGCCTGCGGCTAGAGTTAGGCAGCAGGTCAGGTAAATACTTTGGAGGCTATGCAAGCACAGAACATGCGTGAGGGTGGGGCTGTGATTAGGGCCTCAAATAAAGGTGAAGGCCACTAACAACTCTCACTCCTGGCTCAGGTCTGCATGGGAAGCCTCATTGGTGGTTTTCTCTTTTGAGCATGGGTTCTGGCTAGTTTGAGGCAGTGGGTGAATGAGATCCTTAAGAGGCAGCACAAGCACAGAGCCCCTGTGTTGATGGGGCTGTGTAGGGGCTGTCAAAAGGTGTAGGCCAGCAAGAGCTTTCAGTCACGGCCCTTTCTGTGTGGAAGTCCTAAGCTGGATGTTTGGAGTGAGGCTATGGAGCCAATTTGGCCTCCCTGGGAAGATAAGCCAGCCTCCCTGCTCCAACAGATACTAGGATTTGAAGGAAATAAGTACACTCAATACATCTCAGCAAAAGTAGTTGCATTCTTTAAAAAATACAAAATCATTAAAGTAATTAAAATAAAAGCATATGTATCAGCCTCAGTTTGAAATGAGTACTTTTTAAATTTGTAATAGACTGGTCACTTTCAAGAGCTCAGAGCTTGAGTATCTGAAGCTCTCCTTGATTCTGGTATGATAATAGCAGGAAGACTGCTCTGTCCCAGAAGGAGGTTATGGCCCTGCCAGGCTGCAGTGGTGTGAGTATGAAGTCTCTTCCTTGAACTATTATGAGTTGGGATTCATGCATTTTTCCCTTGTGGGCAGACCCACCCACAACATACTTCTGCCTGCTGCAATTTCCAGGATGTGGCTGGAGCCTCCAAAGCACAAAAACATGTGACCAAATCCAGAAGCATGGACACTAGAGATTAAGCCTCTCCCTTACACTTAAGATCATGCCATGCCAATGAAAAGAAAACCCCCTTCTGGTCAGAATTTTCCTTTCTAGTCTTCTCATCCTAATGATGCAATTTTAAGATGTTATTCTTTCAGAAGTAAACAAAGCCTAGATGAAAGCAAGAGGAGGATGAGAAAAAGAAGATAGATTCAGGTCTATTCATATGAGCAGGGGAGAAAGAAAACAAAAGAATAAATCACTACAAACCCAGCTACACCCCCAGATTCAGCAATATCCATATCTTTGTATTTTTGGCCATAGCAGACAGTTAGAAGAAGGTAATTAATAGCTTAGAAGAAACCCCTGTATGTTTTCTGTTATGTGTGAATGTCTTCTTGGGTCTTTTTTTTTTTTTTTTCAGTCTTCCAGGTGCCTTTTTCATTTGAAATATAAAAAAAATTTGCCTAAATTTAGGCAAAAAAGTGGGCAGGGGAAGGCCCTAAATTTTTTTTAGGCAAAAATTTTTGCCTAAATTTGCCTAAATTTTTTTTCGCTTATTATACCAGGAGTTTTGTACATATCTGTCTGCAGTCTACATTTTCATTTACACATGGAATCAGGAGGGATCAGTCAGCTGGGAATAGATGCGGGTGTTAATTATTTTGTTTTCCAAGTAATTGTGCAAGCTGTCATGAATTAAGGAACACCAAGCTAGAGTGCTTACTTCAATATCATTCTAAGCCTCCTGCAGCTAACCTTAGTGAAGACATGAAATGTTTTGCATTACATAAGGCTGCGTAGACTGCAACTTGGCAAAACCTGCCTTGGCTCTGTTTAGCTGGCAGATAACCCTGTGAATGGGTCCCAGTGGTACTGACACTGATTCCTAGGTCAGGCTCTCTTCATCTATTAACCCACAAAGAGCAAGTCAGGTACTTTTGTAAGACTGTTCTAATCAGAACATTCTGTGTCTTTTATTGTGGCAATGTACACTGCTGAAGCTCTCTATCTTCTCTGCTAACCATGTTTCTTCAGTTAAGGGCGTAAGATGATTCTGCCTCTCATGGCTGCAACTGTGGCCACCTAGAGGCTTGCAGTGTGGCCTGTGTTTCTGTAGCAACCTGTCATTGCTTTGCAAAGGTAAGTCAATTTTTCCCCTGTAACTGACATATTTTTAATTTCTAAAAAAATATTACAAGTCTTGTCAGCACAGCCCACATGTGTTCGGTGCTGTAAGACTTCCCTAGCAATTAATTATGATCTTGTAATCCAAAGAAATCAAAATAATAAATGACAAGTCATATTTATCTGTGCCTCCGCAGACTGAAATTTCAGTTTACATGTTCCAGACCACTCCTATCTTCCAGGCCTCCTTATTGCTATGAGTCAACCATCTCAGACACTGTCATTGCACTGAGTAACACCAAGCTCTGCCAGCACAGTAATGTCTCAGACTTTGATCTGCCTTGGTCGTTGTCCATTCTTAAATACTTTCTCGTGAAGATACAGTAACAGCTCAACAAATATTTAAACAGAATAGAGTGATTTGCTGTGTGTTGCCCTGTTTTTTTTTTAACCAGATAAAATGGATACTACTAGCCTCACTTGACAAGTTAGCAAAAGGGTTATCAGTCTACCCTGTGGCAGACAGACCCAGGAGAGATCATAGTGTGCATTTGTGATTGCAACAGCAGAAAGATGCTTTGGGAAAATAAATACAACCCTCTTCTCCTATATTTTTTTCGAACTGATTATTTGCTTTTAGTTTATTAATTTTTCTTGAGTGGAATAAGCATTTTATTTTTAAATTCATTGATTAAGGAATTGCAAAATCATCACTCAGAATATACCACAGGTTTTGCTTAGAGTTTATTAATGAAAATAAAACAAGAGTATCTTTTCAGTGCTCTGTCAAACTAGGTAGCCTTTATGGTCTCCTTGGAAAGTGAACACTTGTAGATGCTATTTAACTGGTAAGTAATATGTTACTGCTTTAGAAATTATACACTGACAACTTCTTGGGTGGTGAAAACCCACCTAATAGCCCCAGGTCTGATCCAAGAATTCTCCATGGCTGGGGTTATGCTCCCAGTGTCTGCTATTGCTATTTTGTACACCCAAGATATTCTTACCTGTATTAACATTACCTCTGAAGAGATGACTGTGGGACTAAGTAAACACATGCACTAATCAATATCCATTGAGAAGGGGATAGGTCTAATATGCTGCTTACCAAAATGTCTATAAACTTAGCAGATACCTAAGTTTTTCAGGAAATGCTAAATTTACAATCAAGCAACCATGGGTAGACTCCATTGAGATTTTCTAAAAGTGCCTGAGCACCTTTGGCAGAAGAGTCCAAAAGAAATTAAGTGACATTTGCATACCCAAAGCACCATGTTCCAAGCAATTGATTATCTCTCCAAGTTATTTTTAATACGTATTGATCAGTAAGAGCAAAATGAATAGCAACGCCAAGGCATAGAGATGAGATAGCCCTTCCGGGCAAGCTTGTAGGGGATCCTCCACTCAGAATGAGACGTATCAAGAGGCTGTTTCGTAGGAACAGCAAGTGACAAATCTGCCCCCCCCCCGGAATTTTAGATATGCTGGTTTTAGTTTCTCCTTCTAATGTTTCACTTTTTTTCTCTAACTCTGCGTATTTCTGACTTCTGTCTTTGTCCTCACAGTCACGTTGAGTGAGGAATACAAATCTCCTGATATCATCCCAGATGTGAGACAATGAATGACATCCCAGGTATGAAGGACATGACTTACAATCCTCACAGCATGTACCTAAGGTTATGTTAACAGTAGCAAAGAGGCTGGCCAAACTTTGAAAGGAAAATATGTAGCTGGAGGTTTTCTAAGGTAAGGGAACAAGTCAAAAATACAATATAAAGGTCAATGTGTATGAGAAAAAGCCATGGTGAATGTTGCAACCTAATAGTGGTTGTGTTTGTGATGCTCCCTAAACTCTGATAAACTTTGAGAAAGAAAACTCTCTGGCTTGAAAATACACACCATTATTTTTTTAGCAAAAAGTAGAGATTTATGTAAAGACTATTTGGAAAGTTATTTAGAGGCTCATTTGTTCAGATTGAAGGATTTGGCAGATGCTTTTGGGAAGACACTGTTATGTGCACTAGTGAAATATTTAGGAAAACCCACTGTCAATTGAAAATCTTTCACTCAGACTGTCAGTTGCTCACAAACTGATAGCATAGTTTT